TTCAAGCTTTTCCCTCTCAAATTCTCTAGTTTTAACAGAAAGTGAACAAGTTTTAGATGTCTTTGATTTTAAAATCTCCTTAAAACCTTGAGGCATAGAGCAAATGAGAAAAAGATAAGGAAATTAACGAGATAAACATGAATGTGAAGTGATTGAGAGTTGCAGCAGAATCCTTAAAGCATTTCACCTACTTTGCTTTCCTACAAAGGTTGAAATTGTCACTTCTAAGTTCTATAAGTTCTTAATTAGTTTTTGTTAGGGCACATTCTAACCATCAAGAATATAGTAGGGATGTGAAAATTTACTATTGCTGTTTTTTCAGTGTTAAATAAAAACTTAAAGCCTTTTAATTTTTTTCACGTCTCATTTGGTTGCTTGAAGATGGCAATCATATTTTTTTAAATCGATGTAGTATGTTAAGTCCATCAACATCGATTTTAAAATTTATAAACTATCTCAAAACTTCTTCACAGGTAATGATTTTATATTCATAATCACTGAAAATAAATTATCAATTTTTAAAACATGTTTTCTATTCATGAGCAATTTAATGAGTCCTCAATATTTTCCATTTTAGTTTAGTTTCCTGCAAGCCATTTTGTATGCAAGTTTTGTTGGTGCATTGCAAATTTGAACTGCTATTGCACAAATTTATGTTTTGAAATTCCATTGTTTTTATCAGATCAAGTGTGCTAATCAATATCTCAATTTTTCTTTGTTTTTCTCTAGTGATGAGAAAGTGATTGCTCAAGCAATTGAATTGAATGAGCTGCTTGGTAAAGTTCTTACCCAACATGATTCACTTCTCTCTTCTCGAGCCCCCTCTACAACAGGTTTATTTGTTAATGAAGAAGCAGAGGAGGATGAAGAGCTTCTTCTTCGTAGGTACTGTTCTTTTGTAGGAGTCGTCTTGTTTGATTACCTGCTAATATACAATCTGAGAAATATACCACTAAATGCTCTTGTAACATTTATTTATTGTGCTCAATAGGCTTTAATGGGCAATGTGTTGGATCAATACAGACCGATATTTTCCAACATAGAATGTTCTGAGGAGTGTTCTGAGTTTTATAAGTTGTGAAATTTCAAAGAAAAAGTTGATGCTCATTTGCACTTAGTATTGATGATCTCAACATACCTAGGTGTCTTGCCTTTGATTTGGGGATAATATAATTTTATGTTTCACAAAATTTTTAATGAGAGTTTAACCATAAATCATATTTGTCATGGCATAGAATGGTGCACGCCATGTCGCATGGCACGACGCACCTTACGGCATCAGGTGCATTGCACGACGCACATGTTCAAGTCAGTGTGTGCATGGCACTTGACGTGCGCAATTTGAATTTTAAGTTATATAATTTCAAATATTTATATAATTGTAAATTTTAAATAATGTAATTGTTGGAGAAATTTTGTCATCATTAACGGATTGCATATTTTGTGATTGAGTATGTCATAAGAAAGATGATATATTACTCCGAAGGATAAAAATATGGCCTACCACGACCAGAGGGGTTTACAATTATTATGGTGGTGGTTGATAGGCTGAATAAGTATGCACATTTCATCTCCTTACGACACCCCTATACTGCAGTGACAGTGGAAGCAACATATTAGGGAGGTGGTTAGATTACATGGGATTCCAGAGTCGATAGTGTCTAATCGAGACAAAGTGTTCCTCAGCCAGTTTTGGAGTGAGCTGTTCAGGCTATAAGACATTATTCTTGATACGTCATGCAAAAATTAACTTGATCGGGCACCTACCGTCGCGAATATTCCAGGACGCAACAATTCTCAAGAGAAGCACCGCCTACCATCCTCAAACAGACGGGCAAACGAAGGTAGTAAACTGGAGTTTGGAGACTTACTTGAGGTGTTATGCTTCTGAAATACTAAGGTCGGCAAAATGGATAGCATGGGCCGAGTATTGGTACATACATCGTACCATTCTGCTTCTCAGATGACCCCTTTCAAAGTGTTGTATGGAAGAGACCCCCACACTTGGTGTACTATGGGAAAGGGAGCATTCCAGTTTCCTCAGTAGGGTAGTACTTGGAGGAAAGGGATAAGGTGTTGGAAGAGTTGAAGAAGCATCTGTTGAGGGCACAAACAAATCATGAAGAAGTAGACATATACACATAGGAGAGATACGGTTTGAAGTGGGGGAGAAAGATTCTTAAAATTGCTACCTTACAGGCAAAGGAAAGTTGCCAACAAGTGGAACGAGAAATTGGCCCCGAGGTACTTAGACCCCTACGAAATTTTGGACAAAATTGGAGTAGTGACATACCATTTAAAGTTACCCCCATCCGCCACCATACACCTAGTCTTCCATGTGTCCCAGTTAAGGAGAGCTCTAGGGGAGCATGAAATTAGTGCGGCGTTACCATCTAGATTGATAGAGGAGTTGGAAGTGATCTTAGAACCACTAGAACTGAGAGGAGTAAGATCAGATAAAGAGGGGAATAAAGAAGTGCTTATTAGATGGAGATACCTGTCCGATTTCGATGTCACTTGGGAGCCCTATGAGGGGGTGAAAGATCAATTCTCTTTATTTCTCACCTTGAGGACAATGTGAGTTTTTAGGAGGGGCGTAATGTTAGGTTGGCCCTAGGGCCAGCTGAACCGGTCTAACCTAGACCGGTTCTTTGCTACAGGAGGCGGGGCGGAACCGAGGGGAAGACAGAGATAGGCCAGTTGGAGAGATGGGGCCCAAAATTTAATTAAAAGTTACTTTGGGAGGGAAAATTTAAATTAGGGGCTGTTTAGGGATTTTGTATTTGTCCTCTTTGTTTTAATTAAGTTCCCTTTGGGAGGATTAGGGTTTGATCTGGAATTGGGAGAGAGATTTGAGATCTAGGGTTTGTTCTTTTAGGCTTTAGGCTATGCTAGAGATTTGGAGAGTTGTTTCTTTCTCTCGAATTAAAGAAACTTATATCTTCTATTATTTTTTTTTGTTCGTAGATTGAATAGAAGAGGTTTCCTTGTGTTTTCTTTCCAATTTTTTGAATTTTCTGCATCGTATTGATGATCTCTCTGAAATCAGCAGATTTCTCGTTGTTTTCACTAATTCTTTTAGATTTGCTTGCGAACTCAAATATTTCCTATCAGCCATTAAGTCAATAAATTACGAAAGTTGCAGGAGATGCTTAAGGTACCATTGGAATCATAAAAATTTCATGTCATCAAGTTTCTTAAAACTCAAAAAGGAGAAAAAAGAAAAAAAAAATCAAATGTACCATCAGCTCTCAGTCCTTTTACCTTGAGCTTTTGCGTACTCTGGGCTTCTCAATAATCTATTGTTCGTGTGAAACTACTGTTTTATTGAACTGGTTTGCTGCTTCTGTGGGTGTAAGAAAGTAACCGGTTAAAAATAAGTTCTGGAAATGTGAACAATAGCCTCATTCAGCAATTAAGGTTTCCTCCAACTTGGTAGTACTTATTACCATGTTATTCATTATTGTTAGCAGTTAGTGTGTCTTCTGTAGCACCTTATGAAATCAACGTGAAAGAAATGCCTTCAGCCATTTTTCTTTTCAAGATAAGGGGTCATTGTATCTGGGAAAATTTCGAGTATGTATTGGTTAAATTGTTTTCTCTTGTATGACCAGTGATTAAATATGAAGTGCATAGAAATATAATATTATCCGTTGTGCGGTACTGCGGTAGCCTTCTGAGAGAGAGAATGATGATGAGGAGGCAGAAGACCCAGACTCGACTAGTTAGGGCTTCTCCAACCGAAACTCTCATTTTTCACTGCAAAATATAGTAAAATCAAAGTGTTGTGATTCATCTCCAGTGGAACGCCATTTTGCCCCCAAATCATCGTTCGTTTCTTTCGCGCCTTTCTCGGACGAGTTCGGTAGAGAGAAAGAAATGGTGCAAGTGAACACTGCGACGCCAATATTGGCGTTGCACTGTTCAATTGCGATTAAATGGCATTCGGTTGCGACGTTTGAGGACCTCTATTCGGCTGTTTGCCGAACGGTTAGAGATGGTCTTAGGAGTTATTCTCAGCATGAGGAGAGAGAGAGAGTATGCTACTTTTGTTTGTAGCATGTTTTTACTTTTTATTTCTTTTTCATTTATTTTCTTGGGCTGATCCAAAAAATATGATGTTGTGATAGTGTTGTTTAGTTTGATGATTAGTTGTGGCTTTGATAGCCACTGAAGGTTTGATTATCTCTATATTGTAATAGATTATTTTACATCTCATATTTTATGATTTTCTATCATTTATATAAAAACATGTGTTAGTTGTTAATGTATATTTGTGTTATTATTTACATATTAT